AGAGAGAGAGAGAGAGAGAGAGAGAGAGATTGCGTACCTCTTCGGAACTCATGAAGAATTTCAATTGTTTGCCAAAATTTTTCTGTAATAACGAAAAGCGGACGAAATCGCTGTCCGCAAACTGTTTGGCCGATTATATACATTAGAATTAATTGATTAAATATTATTTCAAACAATATAAACAAATAATTCATACCTTAAATGCCGAGAATTGTGGTAATTGTTTGACTCCTTCGGCCACCGCTTTCATTATATCGACTATAAATCACACGAAAAACTAATTAATAAACAATACATAATAACTGTTGGTAACATTACTCACAAGCAAATTCACCAACACGTTTAGCATTATGATAATAATATAGTGGTGTTTGTGGAGCGGCTATAGTGAAGGTCCTCATGTAGTCAACCCATTCGCCAACATTTGTCGGTTTGTAATAAATCGGTGGCAAAACAGCGATCGCATCGAAACCCAAGTCCTGTACTTTTCGGGACAGTTGTAGCGATTCCTTCAAACACGTCGACGAGACGTTCACTACAGACAAGAGATGGCCCGCACTCTGGGCGTCGATGGCCTGACGCCATGCGCTCACAATCGCCACCTTCTCATCGTTGGTCAAACTGTATCCCTCGCCGGTTGTGCCGCATATGTAGAGACCGTCCACTCCTGAGTCCACCAAATACTTTAGATATGCGGGAATCTGAGAGACATCCACTTCGCTGTCCGTAACAAATAATAGGATTTATATTAGGATTAATTTATACTAATTATAATAACATATTATACCCGTTATCGTCAAAAGGAGTAAAGGGGGCGACCATCGCACCACTAAACTGCAGTACTTTTTGCTTTTTTTGTGCTAAAGTGGCCATGATTAGTTTTCTATTGAATTGAAAATTGTAATTTTAGCCAATAATCAACTATAATCTGCTCCAGTAATTAAGTGAGTTGTTATATAATAAGCAAAATACAAGTGGAGAAAGTTTTTATATAAGACACTTGTCATAAAAAATTGTATAAATTACTGAATTATCTAACTTTTAATTATGAGATATATTTAATGGTTATAAATGACAATAAAATGTGAAATATATACAGTATATATAAACTTTATATGATTTAATATTGATAGTTAAAAAATTTTAAACTTAAAAATATGTTTCAGTTAACACTACAGCATATTATTTCAATAATGACCTTGAAAATTTAAAATAATATATTAAGTTATATAACTACAGTAGACATTCGATTTTGACAGCCGCGATTTTAACAGAATTCGGTTTTAACATAAGATTTTGTTAGCACCGGCGAGCGATATTAGTATTGTTAAAGTATCCGATTTTAACAGAATTCGATTTTAACACACATTTTTAACAGCACCGCAAAGGTGTCAAAACCGAATGTCAACTGTAGTATACTGTACAGTATATGTATATTATTATAAGTTATAACATCCAGATGCTTGCTAATAAGCTCCCGGTGATTTTAGTATAATTATAATAAAATAATTATTTAAATTTATTACTAGTTTATATGTAGTGTTATAAATACACGAAAATATAGCTAGATTGTTTACATGCTTTGGTTCACATTTACCTAAATGCAGTGAAAGCAATGGTGGTAAATTGTACTTGATAATAAATGATCAAGTGCAATAACTACAAAATTGTTGATGTACAACAATTTTAAGACAATTTTTATATTTGAAAAATATTATCACAATAAATAATTTATTGATTATTTAATCACATTTAATCACAAATAGGCCTTGAAATTAAATTATACATGTATACATTTTTCAATACAGTACTACAGATAAATACTAAAAATAAATTACGTTTCTACTATGTTTAAAATTAAAACTTCAAACTAAAACTAAAAGTTTAATTGAAACATACTTTTAATTGCAATTTCAGTTTATAATAATTCATCATAAATATGATGACAATTAATATTAGGTATACTATATTATAGTTTGTAAATAATGAAATAAATCAATAATTAAGTTAAGTAATTAGTCAAAGAATATATAATATTAAACACAAAATAAAATATAATTTTATTTAATATTAATATTATTACAAGTATTATAAGTTAGTATATCTATGAACACAATATCGGATGAATTTTATATTTAATATAAACTCCAGTTTTTACACACTTACAAAATTATGAATTATATAACTAAATTGTAATGGCAACGCACAATAACAATTTATAATTAACCAAATATAAAGTTAAAACATAAAAATTAAAAATATTGTTAACAAAAATTCTAAAAAACGTAATTTAAACAGTTATACCTTGAAGTTTATTTCATTATTATATTCAATATATTTAACATCAATTTCTTATTAATTAATTGTTATTATTAAGTCTAAAGTCTAAATACGATATACTGTGTATACAATTATTACATAAACTTAATCTATGGTTAAATCGGAAGCCCTTTATGTTTAATATAAGATATATTTTTAACACATTTTTTTGGAAGACGTGATAATAATTTTAGTTAATACTTAAATATTAATAATAACTCAATTCAAAAAATACAAATAAATAAATAATTAAAAAATTTTAACAAAATAATACAATAATATAAATATCCAAAAAATAATAATAAATCTCAAACAAAATACTCTATTAATACTCTGTTAACAACAAAACAAAACAAATACTAAAAGTGTTCACCACTTATAGTGATAGGAGAGTGGAGGTCGGGGGAGACCGACATTAATACCGAGATGTTTAACGTCTTGATTGAATTGATGTTTGGCCGACACGAAGAAGTTGGCGGCCGTTCGGTGTCTCTGACCCTCTTCTGTGATAATGTTTTGCTGTCGTCGGGCGCTCTCGAGATCGCCGTCGCGAACGTGTTTTACCATCAGTTTGTATGACTCGACCACTCGAGCGAAGTTAAATACTACACAATTGGCTGCACTACAGTCCAAACCCGTAAGCGATGCCAATAACATCTGTTACATAACAACATAATAGATGAGAGAGAGAGAGAGAGAGAGAGAGAGAGAGAGAGAGAGAATGTNTAATTGAAAATTTTGTTGAAATTGGCAAACATTGATAAATACAGGAGAGAGAGAGAGAGAGAGATTGCATACCGTTTCGGAACTCATGAAGAATTTTAATTGTTTGCCGAAATTTTTCTGTAATAACGAAAAGCGGACGAAATCCTTGTCCGCAAACTGTTTGGCCATAAAATATCGTAAAATTAATAAAACATAATTTCAAACAATATAAACAAATAACTCATACCTTAAACCCCGAGAATTGTGGCAATTGTTTGACCCCTTCGGCCACCGCTTTCATTATATCGACTATAAATCGTATGAAAAAGTAATTAATAAAAACACATTATAATTGTTGTTAACTCTACTCACAACTAAATTCACCGACACTTAGGGCGTTGTGATAGTAATACAGTGGTGTTTGTGGTGCGGCTATAGTGAAGGCCCGCATATAGTCAACCCATTCGTCAACATTTGTCGGTTTATAATAAATCGGCGGCAAAACAGCGATCGCATCGAAACCCAAATCCTGTACTTTTCGGGACAGTTGTAGCGATTCCTTCAAACACGTCGACGAGACGTTCACTATAGACAAGAGATGGCCCGCACTCTGGGCGTCAATGGCCTGACGCCATGCGCTCACAATCGCCACCTTCTCATCGTTGGTCAAACTGTATCCCTCGCCGGTTGTGCCGCATATGTAGAGTCCGTCCACTCCTGAGTCCACCAAATACTTGAGATATGCGGGAATCTGAGAGACATCCACTTCGCTGTCCGTAACAAACGATAGCATTTATAATAGGGATGATTTAAAACTAGATAACTTTAATGACATATTATACCCATTATCGTCAAAGGGGGTGAAGGGGGCGACCATCGCGCCGTTGAATTGCAGTACTTTTTGTTTTTTCTCTTCCAAAGTGATCATGGCTATTTTTCTATTGAATTGATAATTGATCTTTAGTCAGTATCAAGTATTATTCGTTTAAATAATTTAGTGAATTGTCATTTAATGAAAAAAAAATATAAATCTTCAAGGTGTTTATATAGGAGAAATGCCATAAAATTACTGAATTATTTAATATTTAATTGTGAGATATATTTAGTGACTATAAATATATTTTTATTGCTTTAATTAAATGAATTGTGATAAAATCATATTTTAGTTAACACTGCAGCACATTCCAAATATGACCCTGAACATAAAAAATTAATTGCAATAATTTATATAAATTTATTACATTAACTACAGTAGTATATAATAATTTATATAACTTTCATGTGTTTAGCAATAAGCTCCCGTTGCTTTTATTACAATTAAAATTTATGACTATATCATAACGTAAGAAATATTGTTCAAATTGTAATTTACAATATAGCTAGATTGTTTACATGCTTTGGTCCACATTTACCTGAATTCAGGGATAGCTATGTTGGTCAAGTGTACTTGTTATATTGTAAATTGCAATAACTACACAATAGTATATGTATAACAGCTTGTATAAGTACTCTTACAATCGGATAGTATTGTCACAATAATTAATTTATTGATTATTTAATCAGAAATATACACTAATATTGAATTATGTATGTTTATTATTATTCTGTTCAATACTAATACATGGTAAAAACAAATTACGTTTATACTATGTTTAGAATAAAAACTTTAAATTCAATTGAAACATTTTTCTAATTGTATATATTTATAATAATAATTAATTTTAAATACCATTAAAATAAGTATTTAATTTTAAATAAACATTATGTATACTTACTTATAATTTGTAAATAATTGAAATAAATAAATCCTTAATTACATTAAATAAATAGTTAAAAATGTAAATTTTATTGTAATTGTGAGAATATTTACATGTATTTCATAAATCATCATAAATTGCACATAAATTAATGTATAATTAAAATTAAACTCATCGTTACATCAAAATCTCGGTCATATAAAACACGTTAAAGAGATAAGTAATTATAAGATACAAGTAATCAGAATAAAAAAAATAAAAATTATAAATAAAAAGATTACAATAAATCAATAAAATTAAATAATAATAATTAAAAAATCAAATTAAAATAAACAAAAATATACCCAGCTCAATATTTGGGCGTAAACCTAACATTAAGGGCGTCTTTGGCGCGGAATACCATCTCAGATGAGGGCTGAATTTTATCCAACGGTTCCAGCGATTCCAGCCTAAAGTTGAGACAAACTTTGGCTAAAATTATCTTCTCTTCGGTGACGGCGAAGCGTTTGCCAATACAACTGCGGGCGCCGGCACTGAACGGCACATACGTATAGGCGTTGATATTGGATGTGCTGTTCTCGAGGAAGCGCTCCGGCAGGAACCGCAAGGGCTCGGGAAACACCTCCGGGTCGTAATGCATGCGTTCGATGAAGAGAAACACATTCGTGTCCTTCGGTATCACGTAATCCCTGCACCGGAAGTCCTCATTCAATTTACGGCCGATGAACGGCACCGACGGATACATACGGAGCGACTCTTTCAGCACCGCATCCAAGTATGTCATCCGTGCGATGTCTTCGGCGGTGATGTCCCGCGTGATATCTGTGCCAAATACGGCGTCCAACTCTTCGTGGAGCCGGTCCTGTACTTTCGGGTGTCGGCCCAACAGGTATAGCGTCCAACTCATTGACACCGAAGTGGTGTCGTGCCCTTCAAACATGAAAGTGTCCACTTCTTCGCGCATATCATCGATGGTCAGCGCGTTGTCCTTCACGTGATAGTCGAGCAGTAGGTCCAGGAATGCCAGCCGTCGGCGCTTTTTGTCCGACAGATAAATATTGTCGTCCGGTTTGGTGTCGACGGCCACCGGTTTGCCGTTGAGGGCCTCCATGTACTGACTTTTGCGCTCTTCGATGACAGTGCGAGTGAATGAGTGCAAAGTGTTGAGCGATTGCTTAAACTTGCGGCCCATTGGGGTCTTATAGAAGATAAAGTCGGCCGCAATCCACGGCGAAAACACCCGTTTCATCAGTATTTCGCCCAAATCGTGAATCGCCGTCACGTACTCAGCGTTGTTACCCAATTGGGCACCGATTGACACACCCATTGCCGTCTCTGCACCGGCCACCATTGCATTAGTGAAGGCATCTCTAACTGGTTTCATTTTAATATATTTATCATTAATTTCTCGGTGGTAGGGTAACCAGTCTATGGCAATGATAAGTCTAT